GGCTCAGACATGATTAGCAAAGCAAAACACATCTACTTTCAATTTTTAAAATATTTTTTAATGTGATTCATAAAACATTTTGAATTTTTTTTTAAAACTTCATAAGCTTTCGCTTTAAAAGAAAAAAAGACCTAAAGTGGTGATACGATTTGAAGATTTCTTTAAAGGTTGTCATTTTAGCAGAAAGCGAATTTCTTATTTTCACTTTTAATTTTTTTCGAAACTTGCAAATCGTGTAAGAATAAGCCAGAATTGTCGCGACTAAGCATAGCTCAAAAATATTATTTATTAAATGAAGTTTAATGAAATAATAATTTAAAAATAATACCTCTTATATATTCATATATTATACGGTTCACACAATATTTGTAGCTTTTCAACACAAATTTCGGACATTACATAAGGCACTTTTTTTACATTAGTGAGTCAACGAGTGAAATGTCAAAAACTCCCTCACTGCTTTAGTCAGTATTGCATACTAATCGTTTTGACACTCACTGACAGGTTGTGACAGGTAAGCAAAGTGAACTTCAATTTTTCCTATAGGTTAACGGGGTCCAACAAAATTAAAAAAGGCCGTAGAAATTCCACAATCATATTCTTCACATAGCTATTATGTGCAACATAAAATGGAAATAATGGGAAAAAGCGTATCAGTTATCCTTATGGGTTTTATGGGTGTAAGTTGCTAAGGTACTTAAATAGTTACCTCACACTGATCAGTTTCACGTTGATAATGATAAAATGAAACAAAGACCTGCTTCACTCTTGCCAACACTACAACTAACAACCCTGATTATTTGCATCCTGCCCAAACTTTTATTCAAAGCAAGATCAGTTGACGGTAAAAATAAAATAAAATAGGCGTGCCTATAGATAATCCAGTTCGTTTACTAAACTTCTGCTTAGCAGTTTTCTTTATTAAGAAAGAATTCTAAATGAGTTTTTGTTCAAAAGAATCGTTCAAACAGAAATAATATATAACGCGCATAATATGTACTAACGATTACTTTCAAACTGCATGCATCCACCGGTTCGTCCCGACGCAGCGCTATTATATCCCTAATATTAGATGGATATGTTTTTGTTCCTAATGCTACTTGCCAACGCCAGCAAGCCTGATTTGGGAATCCATGTGATTTTAAGGCAGAGGGTGCGTTTCTTGTTTTTCAGTGGCGCCATCTATGGCCAATAATACCACTTCAACCACACATATCATAGCCCATCTTATACACAGGAACCATTCATACTCCATTCATTCATCCACAGATCGTGATTTTGACCTGAACCAGAAAGCGATCAATCCGCAATTCAGTATCTCCAGAAGTATTTTATTTTATTTTATAACCGTCGTTGAACAGCCAACCCATTTTTTGAGTTTACGATTCGTATGTTCAACTCCGTAGCCTTGGAATTTTAAACTCAATCCAGAAGATAAGAGAACTCCTGGATCAAGTATGGGGAGAAATTGCGTTCGTGGAGGAATTTTTGATTGAACTAACCCGCATTTGCATTACATGGAGAGGGAAACCAAGAAAACCTCCTATGGTTAGTCTGATGGCAAGGGGACTCTAACTCATGATCTGTCTATCACGGAACATATTTTACGTAGGCACTGTGGTCAGTGTAAACCAGGTGCGGCATTCGAATCGACTAACCATCGCTGGGATTCGAACCCAGTTCACCTCATTGGAAGACGAGAGCTCATTTACTGTGCCACCATAGCTCCATTAGAGGTATTGATTTATTATGGGAACTTGGAGGACATTGTGACCTCGAAAGATTTAACGTGCACCAGTTACCAGACAAGGTAATCTCTATTTTCCTAATTTTCCTGTGGAGCATGGGGTTATTTAGTTCAACTAAAATGTTACGCAAGTGTAAGTAATCAAAAATTCCACAATAAAATCTTTTTAATAATTATTATATGTAACACCTGCTCAACAACCCTTTTTACAAAAAAATTATTTTTGCATTAGTAAACTATCATTAAATAAAAACACTTCTGCCTCAATCTTGCGAATATTACAACTAATACCTTGCTCGCAATTGCTAGAGAGAATAATTTTTTTAAATAAAAGGAGACAATTGGCTTTGTTTCTATCCGAAAAAGGGGGGGGGGAGAAATAGGCATTTTTAGGTAGCTTTTCGGAGTTGTATAGGAGGAGGAAAAAAAATAATACCAAAATGTTAACGTTCTGGCAGCAAAAACTTCTCTTTAATATAGAGAAACTCCTCGAAAAATCAAGATTTCGGGTTCACAGTAATATCTATCTCTATTACAATTAGCAATCACTTTATAAGATGGTTATTTGTCACTTTATAAGATGGTTGAAGTATTATGGTTATTTGAAACGGTTATATAAATAAGGAGTATTTAAGAAGAAGCAATTGTGGCGATGTCGGATAATAACTATGGTTTCTGAAAAGCTTAGTGGAATAAATATGTTATGCAATATGTTTCTCAATTTGTCACGATTTCCATTATAAAGTAAAGGAACATCAAAAATTTTCTCCTCGTGTGTATATATATATATA